CGTGTGTGTGTGTGTGTGTGTGTGTGCGTGTGTGTGTGTGTGTGTGTGTGTGTGTGTGTGTGTGTGTGTGTGTGTGTGTGTGTGTGTTACGAGGGAGGGGGCGGGTCTTCTTTTATTGTTGTATTTTTGGATGTTTTTACCACTTTGAATTAAATTTCTATGTATGAAAAGTGCTACATATATAAAAATGGATTGACTTTGTTAGATTGGTTCAGAACCAAACTTAACAACAAATTACATGTATGATGCTACTGGGGTTTCCTTCACAAATCTTCCGGTGTAAATGATTCTTCCCTGCTTTCACTTTAGTATGTAGCCAACAACAGTCATTGAAGCAAATCTGCTGACACTGCATCAGCACGCAAGCTGAAATGTCACTCAAAAATGCATCCGTGAATATTAATGACGCTGTCATCTGCCGCTCCCGTGACATCTTGTTTTTATTACCTGCGCCAGAGAGGTTATCACTTAATCACTTCTTGATTCTTGGGTAGCAAATTACTGCAAAACTTGTTCTTATAAACTTTGATGATGTTGGGGGTTGGAACAAGAAAAAAAAAATCTTTATCTGTGCAAAGCAATTAAAATATACTCCATCCTTCGCTAATCCAGGGTCGGGTAGAAGAGGGAAGCCCAGACTTCCCTTTCCCCAGCCACTTCTTTCAGCTCTTCCCGGTGATCCCAAAGTGTTCCCGGGCCAGCCGGCAGACACAACCTCTCCAGCATGTCCTGCATGACTGGAACACATCACCAGGGAGGCATGCAAGAGGCATTCTAATCAGATACCCGAGCCACTTCATCTGGTTTCTCTTAACATGGAGGAGCAGCGGCTCGACCTTGAGTCCCCCCTGGATGACCGAGTTTCTCACCTTATATCTACGGGAGAACCCGGACACCCTGTCGAGGAAACGCACTTCAGTCGCTTGTAACCGGGATCTCGTTCTCTCGGTCATGACCCACAGATCGTGACAATATGCAGGGGTGGGAATAATGAAATTGCTCGCCTGAATATTGTATCATGTGAGAAAATCTCTAAAAATCCTGTTATACCAATATATTGTCCATCCACTTATACGAATGACAAAATATAGTCACACACATTGTATTCTGTCTGTCACACATTCTTTTGGTCCTTTCTATTTGCCCCGTGGGTGTTAAATACTCTTTTCACATTGACTTTTTCAGCAGGCCTGCGGCAGGCAAACAACACAGAGATTAAAAAGATCTGTACATTGCGTCCACTCTGCTTCCCTGCCAACAGGTAATGCTGCAAAAAACATTCATCTCCAAGGCCATTTCACATGGCTGCTCAGGAAACGGTCTCCTGGGAATTTTCATGGTTCGGAGAAGGGCAGAAAGGGAGAAAAAAAACAAAGTAAATATTTAGGTATTTAGTAGCAGTGTGTGCAGCTTTTATGCAGTGAAGCATGTTGCAAAAACACTTTGAGAAACCAGCAGTTTTGCGCTTTGTTACATTTGCCAACTCACTGCAGTATGATTTTGCCTGAAAAAGGGGAAACTCACTCTCAGATTAAATGTTAATTGACCCTAAGTAGCCAGCTGTAAAATAGTGTCAGAACTTATAATTAAAGTCAGTATTTGGTGGTCGGCTGGTTAGCGCGTCGGCCTCACTGTGCAGAGGTGCAGAGTTCGATTCTGGCCTTCCAGTGTGGAGTTTGTATATCCTCCCCGTGCCCGCGTGGGTTTTCTCCCGCATTCCAAAAACATGCATGGCAGGTTAATGGAACACTCTAAATTGTCCCTAGGTGTGAGTGTGAGCGTGGATCGTTGTTCGTCTCTGTGTGCCCTGCGATTGGCTGGCAACCCGTTCAGGGTGTCCCCCACCTACTGCCGGAAGACAGCTGGAATAGGCTCCAGCACCCCCCACGACCCTTGTGAGGATAAAGCGGATCGGAAAATGAATGGATAGTTGGATAATGGGACCATAAAAGCCAAGCAAATATAAATTTTAATAAAAGGCAAAGAAAGGTTAAAATACATTAGAATTGGTCAGTTGAATTTATTTTAATAATTATTTTTGGTTCCTGTTGTTGAAATAAGTGTGTAATATGTGATATGTGGTATTATTACGCATTTGTTGATATTGCAGGACATAACTAAACCGATGACTCAGATGAGTGAACCCCTACACCATCACCTTATTATGCATAATAATAATAATAATAATAATAATAATAATAATAATAATAATAATAATAATAATGACAATAACAATAATAATAAATATGTTAGCATGCATTCTATATGAGATACAACATGATTTATTATTATTATTATTTATATACTAAAGTCACCACTGAATCACATTTTTTCCCCTTCAATGTATTTCGCAAGGTACAGTCTCACATACCTTGGGGACTCATGTTTAGATCGTTAAACTGTCCTATTAATTTAGATGTGTGTTTGTTCAGCATTAAAGACAAGCTAGAAAGAAGGCGAATGAATACATCTGGCGTAAAAAATCACAGAACGTACGTTCAACAACTGACAAACATAGGAGAAGACCATGTGAGGACAGCATGGCAGAGATGTTTTTGTCCCTTTTTACAAGCCAGTGTAGCATCAACCGAACCCTGATGTCCAGGGTCTAATTACAAAATACGACATTGGGCTCTATTTCGGTCATCAGGGTCCTGTGCGCTTAGCATAAAAATAGGCGTAACTTCATTTTGGTGCTTTTCCTTTTGGAGGGGAGTGCCATCTGGCCCAGACAAGTTGTCCAGATAGTGACTAAAAGATGCTAGCTTGCTCAAAGATGAATGGACTGAAATGGTGAGCATCAACGACACCAGTCGCAGCAGCAGCAGCAGCAGCAGCGGCTCCATTGACTGACACTCTTTCTCACCTCAAGTCTTCCCCGCCCGGACACTCCCACTTTGACACCCCCCACCCCACCCCCCTAACACTCCCAGTGCCACTTGGGAGGCTATTTTTTGCCACTCTTCACTAAATAAGGCTGTGCAACAGGGCCAGGATAGCTGGCTGGCGAAGGGGTGTGAGCCCCTAGCTTGTACCTTGGTATAAAAATGCCGGGACAGCGGGGCTTTCCTCTGATCACCTCCACCTCTCTCTCTTTTTCTCTGTCTCTCATGCTTCCCCAAAATTGCGTCCTTTAACTCCATTCTGTCTAACCTGCTTTGCTGAATCTTTAACCCTCTGCTAATCATGACACTATAATAATTTATTTTGGGAGGTTATTATAAATCGCCTTTTTGTTTTTTTGAGAACTTTTTTGAAGGGGTGGCTAAGAGGAATATGATGGCAAAAGGACGAGGAGGCCAAGAAAGAGAGTAAGCAATAATTGAGATTTTTTTCTCGCAGAAGTCAATGTTATTGATCATTAAAAAAAAAATAAAGTTTTTTTTTTTTTTTTTTTTTAAAGAAAAGTTGTTAGTCATAAAATCAACATACCTTCAATTCTATTCGTGTATATTTGTGTGCAGGATCATGAGAATGTGTTTAACCCACTTCTGCTAATAGCGCAAAAGCAGACAACCGTGTTGAATTTTCGCTCTGTCTTATAATTTGTGTTTGGTTGTTTTTCAAAACTATTATATTGTGTTTTACTATTTTCACATTGGGGCAAAAAAAAAACTATGGAACAATACTTTATTTTTAGTATCATTTATTTTATTCTATTTATTCTATATATTCTATATATTTAATACAAATTGTATCTTGATCTGCACCAAGACAGTCTTCCGACTGCACATAATGAGATTTTTATAAATCTTGCTCACCAGCATGCCCAAATAGTTGTCCTTTGTAATACGTCTAAATTGTTCCATCCTTCTCCTCACCCTTGCCACCAGCATTCCCTCTCGTCCCCATTTGTCCTTCAGCTCCATCGGCGTTCGCTACTATCTCGCTCCATCTCCTTCTTTCCTTCCTCTGCAGCCTCATCTGCTTGCCCTCCATCCAATATGGATGGACAGCTGACACATTTTAATGCTCAGTCATCACTTCACAAACATTCCTCTTGGACAAACCTCTCAGTGGCTCCTTTTTTTTTTTTTTGCCGTCAATTTCTGCCTCCGCCGGGTCACCCTCCACCTTCTCGTTTTTCCCCCTTCCGTCCGTCCTTCCTTCCTTTCTTCCTGCCTCCTCCTCCTCTCTCGTTATAACCATCAAGAGAGAGAGAGAGAGAGGCAAGTCCCATGACCCTTTCCTTTTCTCTCCTGTCCTCTCTTTCACTCCTCTTCCTCCCCGCATCCTTAAACTCTCCATTGCTGATTCAGCTCCCAGCAAGGAGGAGGAGGAAGGAGAGCCACCCACCGCCTGCAGCGACCGCCTCACTCCGTACGGGCCGCCAGCCTCATCTAGACCACTTGGATTCTGGTAAGTGCGGAAGTGTGTCTTTATTTGCATGATGAAAAAACAAAGTGGACTTTTGAAGCATCTGTGCTCAACGTGTGCGTGTGTGTGACACTGTGTGTGAATATTCTCTTAAATCATACCACTCAGTTGTCAATGTGTGTGACTTGCAGTCCATTTCACGAAACATTTAAGAGATCCTGCGTCAGACTTGCCTCAACGGTGAACATGATTGAGGCACATTTCGTTGGGGTGAAAAGGTCAAGGCTTCTATTTGTGTCTTTTAATTAGCTTCAACAGTGGCGCTGTTGTGCTCGCATACTAAAAATGTACACGCTCACTTATCAGGTTTACAATAATTTCAACTTCCAGAATTCACCCAGTGAGAAAGTTGCTGGGAATAAGGAAGCGATCTAGTTAAGTCAGTGGTGTACCCTGTTTGCAATTTTTTTTGGGGGGGGTGAGGTGCTCCAACGATCCCATCAATCACTCAATCAGTAAATATCGTCAATTGTTATATGTATATATTTGCATGTTTATTTTTCTACTCTTACAAAAGATCTGCCCATGAGGGTTGTTTAAAGATTTTTTTTTTCCCTAAATTCAAAGCTGAGCGTCCTCACATCCCAGGCGTGACCTTAATTCATTCTATTTATCTCGATCTCATCTCTATCCACAGACAACATGTGTGTCACTCTCCGCAAGGGGGGGAAGAGAGGTTTAATAATAGTTTGAAGCAAAGTTTCTAAAAGCGTAATGCATTCCGTTCCCTTAACTTGCACCGGCTAATTTTACCCGCGTTGCAAATGCCGTGAAGATCAGCGGTGTTCAGCTGTCTTGTCAAAGCTCCTGCGGAGATGCTGGAGGTGGCAAAGTGTCAGGTGTCCGGGCCCCGAAAGGACACGGCCTGGCATGGCTGTGCTGCTTATAGTCGACATGCAGCTGTTATCGTGGGCATCGTGTGCAGGTTCTGAGTGTGTACCGGCGCTAAGCAGAGTGGATGTGAAACTTAATGTGGACTTTTAAATATAAATACTGAAGGTGCAAGGAAAAAAAGCATGACCTCAGATAAGGTCATGATAGGAGTTCTTTTTGGAAAATGGATCGTTCCTAGCCGAGTTTTAAGTTCGGCAGGCTGCCGAGTAACACAAGTTGAATACAAAGTCTCCTTTTATTGCCAGTTCAATGCAATTCATTGTGATTTAAACCAACAAAATGGTGACTAAAAAGGTGTTTGAAAAGTAAAGGAGTAGAGGACGATGAAGATAAAAACATGATCAAATTTGAGAATTGTGTTCACTCATCAACTTTTTTTTTTTAAATGTAACCTATTCTGGTAGGTTAGCACATTCTCTTTTTTATTTTGTAATCATGCAGCATCTCAACGAAATGTTACTTGACTTTTTTTACTTTACTTCATGCCCGTTTGACCCTTGAGGGAGCTCAATGAAAAGCTCAGAATGGTTTGAAATCATTCGATTTTTTTTTTTTTTGAATTATTCTTGTAATTTATAATCATGATGTATCAAGTCAGTCAATGACGGCGTGGCGCTGTAATGGCCTGACTTTGGTAAATACACCCTGGGTTCAGTTTCCACCTAGCGAGGGTGTCAATTAGAGAGCAAATGTTTGTTCAGTCTTTATCTGCCACCCTGTGATTGACTGGCGTCCAGTCCAGGGTGGTGTCCGCCTTTCCCCTGAAGACAGCTGAGATATGCTCCAGCTCCCCGCAACCTTGAACAGGATGAACGTTATGGAAAATGCACGGATTGATGGTCATGTCAAGATATTTCAAACAGCTTTTTCATTGTTCTTGTCACCTTCACTGATTCCCTCGATAGAGATTTCACCTCATTCAGAAAAAAAGGTCCATTTTCACTTCATTTTACCGTATATGGTTTCTTGCGCTGTAAAGATGTCAATTATGGATCAAATCCTTTGGTTTAATTACATATGTACTGCTTGCATAATGGCAATGATTAGCAGACTAGAAGCATTTCCAAAATTATTCAGTTTGAAGACTACAATGAGCTCACTTTTTTTTTGTACTGAAGTCTTGCAACGTCATTTTGAATGAGCTGGCGTCGTGTGTGATTTTGTGCCGGTTGGTATTGTCGTGCGCGTGTGACTCTACTCTCATTGACAAGTTGATTTACTCAACCTTTGTTCCTTCCCGGGGAAAGCGAGTGAGAATGAAAGGAAGAAAGGAAGAAGGGAGGATGAGCGTGATTTATGTTCGAGACTTTTTCGTTTAATGACTGGGCGGGCAGCTCTGATGTGCGCTGCCACCGTGGCCCTATTTGCAAAACAACAAAAAGGGGTTTTGTGGGGGGGGGGTGACATATTCATATCGTTTGTGCAGATGCAGTACGATTCACTGATCCGATTTTTGTTCACATGATGGGAAAACACATTTGACACAAACACAAATTTCCACAACCTTTCCATAAGTCTATTTGTCCTGCATTCAAAGAAAAAAAGTCTTTATTCATGAGAATATTGTGCTGTGTCAGCAGTTTCACATTGACGGTCAAGGTGAAACATTCACACATCAAGACTGTCTTGTCTGTATCGTTGCAAATGTTCCACCGCTTCAATCAAATCTTTAACGGGGAAGCGCAAGTATAACAGCTGTTCATCCAATTTAATCACACAAACCCACAACACACATGCAAATTTTGCGACTAACCCTTTTCTTTACCTACTGATCATTAAATGCCCGGTGCGGCGATGGTTCAATTCATTAAAAGCACAGCTTGACCTTTGTACATTTGCTTATAAATTGGTATTGATCCCGGAGAAAGTGGTGTGTACACCAATGTGTGTGTGTGTGTGTGTGTGTGTGTGTGTGTGTGTGTGTGTGTGTGTGTGTGTGTGTGCGTGTGTGTGTGTGTATTGGTGCGCGCTTCGTGTCTACGTGTCGGCTTTTCTAACTAATTCTGTAAATGTTACTATCATCACAATCATCATGTATCTCCGCGTATCTGCTACAGAAGAAGAATTGAGAACACTGGCTTGAAAAGGGGGGTTGGCTTCTGCGTGCCGGACGAAAACTTTAGCGCACGGGGAAGAGGGAGGCGGGAACTAGATAGGAAAGAGAAATACAGACTGCAGAGGCAGCACCTGGGCTATGCTGACTGAAGGAAGGGAGAAGGAGAGCAAAGAGAGTCAATTCCTTCCTTTCTTTGCTCTCGATACACTCTCCTGATGCATCGGGGAGTGAGCGCAGAGGGGTAGTTGAGGAGGGCGAGTGTGTGTGTGTGCGTGGGGTGGTGCAATCCAAAATCTGCCAGTAGGTAAGTACAACATCTCCCTCATTTTCCTCTTTGCAGCCCCGCCCCCAACATTCACACACACCCCACAACTGGGGGTTTCACACTCAAGGTGAAGTGTGTGACAATGCTGATGGATGACATGCTCACCAGATGTTATAGGAATGCGTAGAGCTCCGCAATTTATAGCGCTGCAATTTTTTTTGAGGCCTAGGACTAAAGTCTGGGTTTTAGCCTGCCCCTGCACTTTTTTGTCCGACACTTTTAGACATCAGCATAAATACTGCATTATTATTGCAGTCTTTAGTTGTGCGGCTTTAGCGTTCTCTCTTCGGTTGAGCAGTATTCTCAGTTCTGGTTCTTAGATTATGTCTACAGCGGTTATGTTACAGTTTAGGCTCTCATTTTTTGTGTATATTTAGTACCAAAATGATTCCTATTACTTATCCCAGATTTAGCTCGTAGCGTTAACGTTTCTTCCTATGACTTGCCCCAGATTTAGCTCTTATCGTTACCGTTTCTTCTTACTTCACATCTTGAATATTTCATCCATAATTAGTTCCTCCAGCTGTTATTCCTCAAGCTTTTTGCCGATTTAGATTTGTTTGTTAGATTAATTCCAGCATCTTTTATCATACAGCTGTAGGCCACTTGTAAAAGGTGGGGCTCGGTAATTTTAGACAGCGCAGCTGCACTCGAGCGTGAAAACCATGACTATCTGGATTTGTGTGCTGAGGCAAGCCTAAAGCCTCTCGTTTGGGAATTTGGTTCATCTGAGTGTTCCGAGGACGTTTTCTTTGACATGTGCCCCGGTACATCTAACAATTTGGTGGCTAAAAGCAGACAAGCTAACTTTACGCCTGCTGGAACAATGTCTAAGTATTGCCGCAGGTAACGTAACGCGATTTTAGTGATTTGGATCAAGGTGCAGCCAGTCAGATTCTGATGTCCTCTGACATCATTCCGAAATTTGACAACAGTGTGCTTTGAACCTCCTGAATCTTTACAAGATCAATTCATTGAATGCATTATTATTATTATTTTTAATTGTTATCGTGTTTGTCATATACTTTATATAATCATCCCACTGTAGGCGGCACAGCTATGAAGGTTAGGTGGAAAAAGGGGGATGGTCAGACATACACAAACTTGCGTACAATCCAGGTGAAAGGCAGTCTCCAATACTGTATCTGTAATTTCCCTGTAGCCAACTTTATATGATCGTGGCCATGAAGGTCTGCTTGCAAGTTCCTTATAAATGCATTTTGCGCACCTTGACCGCAAATCAACCTGGGGTCTCAAAGTGTAGTAGCAGAACAGCACCGTGTGGTGTTTTGGACTGTTTTACTCAAATCCCAACTAGGTTTTGCTAAATTCTAAGTTCCCTCCCTAAAAGGTTGTGGCGCTATTGCAAATAGGTTTAAAATGGTCTCCAAAACTGAACAGCGAATATGTGACAAGAGTTCATAGTTGAGGACGGCAGGGTGGTACATGTGATTTCCAAATCCAATTCACAGTTCTGAAGTTGTGGGGTTTGAATTTGGGCTCCAGCCTTCCTGTTCTCTCGATGCTTTCTTGGGGTTTCTCCCAGTACACTGGCTTCCCCTCCCATCCCCAAAACTCTTGAATTGAATGCTGTCAATTGTTCATTAGAATGTGATTGTAAATGATTGTTGGTCCGCCTCTCACTCCATGTCAGCTGGGTTAGACTCCAGCTCACCTGTGACCCTACTGTGGAGAAGCGGAATAGAA